TCTGGATTGGTGAATGGATTTATTGACCATTTATACACATCACTCGGAAGCTAAAGTAATTATAGCGCCTCCTATCGAATGGTTAAAGTAGCCGGGTCGTGATGCTGACCACTCACCTCCATCTGGTTCCGAGGTGAGGAAAGGTGGAGCTATACCTCCACTTCTCAACATGTCTTCATAACATAGTGCTTAATAAATGTAGTACAGGGACAACTGTATCTTAGGTCATTTCTAATTATTTAGTGTAAAATGAAGTACACAAGGACCAATGGCAACAAATTACAGAGTAACAATCTGCGAGGAATACGCATTCAGTATAACCTAGAAGAAGATGGGAGCATTCGTTCTGAGAGATGATCAGAGGCACACTTATGGGCAGAGCTACTGTTTGTCAGTATCCTGTTCACGAATTATCATAAAATGTGACGCCATTGCCTGGTAAAGCTGCACATTTGTATTTAATTCAAATCTCGGCTGGGACCCTGCCATTGTTTTTGAAGGTGTTGGTGGATTTCTTCGGACTCTCCAAGGAAATTCAGGTATTACTCAGTTAGGTCTCAGCCATCTCCTTACAAATTCTCTGCAGTTCACTATTCACTGCCTCTGGATGTCGTAATAAAATAAAACAAGGGAGGAAATTAAGTGTAAATACGAAATTTTGGTTCGTAACCCTGAAATATTGGGGAACCGGAATAGCGCGGTTCGGTATAGCAACTGCGCTACAGGCTGAACGGCCCACGGGTCGGAGTTCGAGTCCCGATAAGGTGGAAGATTTCTCTTCACGTCTTCCAGAGAGATTCTAAGACCCATCCAGCCTCCTATCCAATTGGTACTAGCGGCCGAGGCGTGAAGCTGAACACCCACCTCCAACTAGCGCCTAAGTCAAGAACACATGGATCAATACATCCACTCCCCCATACGTCTTCATGTCATAGTGCTTAATCAGTTAAGTACATGGACAATTGTTACTCTGATATGTTGAAATTACTTGGAACATCGTCGCCTTGAGTGGCAAGGCGAATTATGACGTGTGGAAGGATGTATCACAACTCGAAATCACAAGATAATTCAGTCTCTGTGCGTGTTCGCTGTGCACAAATGGTTTGTTCTTCCTTATGACTTTGCTCTCCGAATCGACCCCTTGGCGATTCGACTACCTCGCGTCATTTTGCTGTCGGAGAAGTTGCCGCACAATAAGGCGTTCATCAACGTATTTTCTATATGATTTGAGATTTTCACGGCGATGACTATGAAGAATGCCTTTCGGAGGAAGGTCAGTTTATACAATATCTACACGGCGCAACATCCCAGAAGACGGCATTCTTCAACGTATTTTCTTTAGGGGCCGTCATGTACTCAAAATATCTCCTTGCGATTAACGTCAATTAATACTAGATATTAAACTTTGAACTTGGCAGCCATTCTCAACACCATCACAAACTGCTACTGTAAAGTGGGATTCACAGTGGAAGGGTCACTTTATTTAAACAAAGGGTAAACTGGATTTGATGTTCTCAATGCCGAAGCTGTGAAGAGTGTAACGCGGTATAATTCGGAGAGAGATAAACGTTTCGTAGGAAATTATCACTCCCATCTTCATGGTAAGCGAAGCATGAAGCCAGTAGAGGAAGTCGGTTTGCTGGTTTCTTGTCTTAAACTTCGACATTCAAAGTGAAGGCGACATTTTCAACTGAGACGTCGGGTTTCCCCCGAACAACCCACAATTCCATATCCTTCAAATGGTATATTATTCAGCTTTGAAGTTGCATATGAAATGATTAAGACATTAATTTAAGGGCGATTTCTTTTCCTTGGCACTACAGCCCCAGTGGGCCTAGGGCTGCCTCCATGAACTCCCATCACTTAAGGGCGATTAGATGTCCAATAACCACAAACAAACACGGCCTTCACCGATTTTGAACCTGGGTCATCCCATTTCAAATAATCATTCACTGTCAAGGTCTTGAATTCGGTTCTAACTATTATCAGTCTTTTCAAAATAGAACAAAGCGGAGCGAGTTGAACACATAAAGCCTTTTTCTTACCACTTAAATTTATATAACTCTAAGTGTTGCCATGTGCATGTGTGACTATAGACGGGGTTTGGATTGATGAATGGATTTATTGACCATCTACATACACGACTCGTAAGTACAATTAATTAAGCGCCACCGATAGACTCCACAATTCATAAATCATCACAGCGCCCGGTAAGCCTTTTCCAGCAGGATGTCTTCACCAGCCGTTCCCTGGCAGCGGCTTCTAAAAGTGGAGATTCTTGAACTTCACGTGTTCAAGTCCATTCTTCACAGCGTCTTGTACAGAACTCATTCGGTCGCCTCAATTTTCTTAAAGATAACTCCTCGGCACGGACCACATAGAAAACAGTTCTTATATTTTTACGTTCGTATCTGTTGCTGCGGGAACGTGTTTACCCAGGCGCTGCCCAGAAATGGCCCTGGTATATCCGCCCATCTTGCTGTCCTTGCATAGCAACAGCTCTACACATTAGAGTAGGTTGTTTCATTCTGCTTTTGTGGAGACATTTTCAACATTTCGGACCATTCCCATGTTTTTAGAGTTATCGCCTTTAAACCGGAGGCCAAAGAGGTTTCTCACCACGTTTTCCGCGTTACAAAATGTTCTAAAAAGTTGCATATTCCTCGAATATCTGTTATGATGTGTCATTTTAGGACCTTATATTAAGTGTCGCTAGCGCCCATCAAACCTAAATATTTCGCCCTTCCGCGATGATGTCCGCCCCCCCCCATGGCAAAACAATGTGTCGTTAAAATCAGTCAAGTGGTTTAAGAGTTTAAATGGAGGAAGTACACAACACGCAAAAAATCTTAACTCTTTCCCGAAGAAGATAAATAAGGATAATAGTAAAGTCTGTCTCTTAAAGACAATTGCCTGAAGGTGGAAACACACAATTTCCTTAAACGTCATATTAATCACAGATTTACGTCTATCAATTGTATTGTAATAGTGAGATTTATCTCTGTTGCATGAACGTAAGTCACGAGTAAGCGATGCGTCTTTTGTTTCAGTGTATCGTGTCTGTTTGGTGAATACTGATGTGGACATGTAAAGTGTAATATACTATATAAAAGATATAGTTCACGATTTGGTTATTTGTTTGTGTTATTCGTGGAAGATATCATCAGACTTTGGTTTGGATGCTTTGTGTGAATGTGAGAAAAAGCAGGAGAAGCGATTTGTGAGGAATCATGTGTAACAAATGACAAGATTTTGATTCTCAACAAATGTTACACTGATAGACCAAAATATAAAAGGAAAATAAGATTTTTATATTACTCTTACAAGTCATTCTCCAAGTAATATGCTGGAGATATGTCCTTATTGGCTCTAATCCTTCTATATATACAGCTCACAGAGTTAGGCTTATGTACATGTTTCATTGCGGGTAACGAGGCGATAATACTTCTAACTTATTCGTACCGTACCGAGTTTGAATCCTGGCAACGACATCAAGTGTGCGGATGTAATCCCAAGATTGTCCTCAGTCTCAACAAAACTGACGATGGAATCTTGATGAGGCTTGTTGGCGATTCATTTCTATTCCCTTCAGAATTACTGACAAATCATCTGTAGTCATCTATCTGACATTAGCTGTTAAAGCTCAGTTGTTACTGTTTAACGTATTGTGACATGTATACCCATTGTTGGGCAACGACTCGGCAAACACATTCCTGCGGAAAAGAATACGCAGGGAACAATCGAATAACTTCCGGTGCTAAGCAATGGCGCTTTAAATACAACAATAGAGGAAGCGGTATTTTCTATGGGTCCACCTGAAGACTATACAAATAGTAAAGAACAGAATTAAACCAGAGGGAGGATGAAAATGGAACGAGTCTTCGGCGGTCAAGGAAAGAGGTTTCGACTGAAAATTATTTTGAGTTATTTTAAATTATTGTGATTAAGAGTTACTGTAAAGGAGTGATCAATAAATCCAATCATCCAATTAAATACCCGTTTATTAGTCACGCCCATAAAAACGTAATGATATAAACGCTGCGTTTGGCCACATCATTTTTTGTGTGTTTCGTATGGTTTTCACACCCCTGAACAAGATTAACCTATCGCTCTCTTTAAACCTGTAAGTGTCAAGTCTAATTTACACAGTGCCTAATCGCCATTTGCTTTCGACACGGCTGATTTTATTTCGAATGTGAAAAATATCCAACCATAAAAGTTCTAAAGATTGAAATATGGGAAAAGTCTAAATGCTGCTAACTACGTAGATCAAACAACGCCAACAGATGTCATATGCTCTCAGATATATACATTTCTTTTTTTAAATATCGAAATTTTCTACGCTTGGCAATTGCAGGGCAAATGGGGACGCGGTGTTTGCTGTCCTGTGCGAACTCAGTTCTTTTAAATATTATGGAGATTTAATTCAGGATTTATATATTAAAGAATGTGCTGAAATTCTATCCTATGCTCGTAAAAAACTACATTTCCCGTCCCTTTAACTTCTTCACTTCCCAACACCTAACCATATCTCACTAATGGAGGTCTACAAGAAGGACGAGCGGGCACTGCCTGGAATCTTTTTTTTTTATTAAATTCGCTTAGTGGAGGGTGGAGTCCAGCTGGGTCCACTCGGCACGGCGGCCACTGATTGGCCTATTGTAGCCTGCCCCGGGTGATTATGATGATGGAGAATTAGGTGGAATGAAGATTGGCAGGGGAAACCGAAGTACTCGATTCCGCCCCAGCGCCACTTTGTCCACCACAAATCCCACTTGACCAAACCCGGAATCGAACCCGGGCCGCCGCGGTGGGAAGCCAGTGACTAACCGCTTGAGCTATGGCACGGCCCTGTCTGGAACATTCATAGATGGAAACATTTCTGTTCCCCTTGAAATCTTGTATCTCTCAATCACCATGCATTTTCCCTTAATTTTAAGGTTTAAAGTGTGCTCAGAGGCACAAGACTTCTCAGTAACGACTTGCCTTTCTGTCTGCAGACCCCAACATCCCCGAGACGGGTGAACAACTTGCCAAATCGTCGTACGGGGACGGAGGTTGCTGTTACCGCCACTGCAGCAGCGAAGTGACTGGTTTCTGTTACACGGACCAATGCTTGAGCAACGCCTCCACCCCAGCGGTACCAGAGCACCACTGCGAAGCGACGGGGTCTACCGCAGGCACTTCACGGACAGCAGTGTTTTCTGCGTGCAGTAGCTACAGTGCTACAAACATTATGGTGCACCCGCCCCTAGGTGGGGCCACGTCAGAGGCGGCTCACACCGTCAACAGGACATTACTCATCAATTTGTTGTTACATATAATAATCCTTTTAGTGATCCGAAAGGTGTCTGGTTTGGAATTCACATAGTGGAACATAAAAAAAAAAGAAGAAGAAAAACACACACACAAAATTCGTTGTTTTTTAAAATGAATACACGTACTATAATGGAATAACGAAACAGTTAAATGCTCGTAAAATTTATATAAAGTATAATATGTCAAAGGAAGTTAAGAATTTGCATCGCCTGAGCTTATATACATATATACATACACACAAACACACACCACAAAAGCCACGTCTGCTGATACTGAAGGATATGTGTCGTTCAGAGTCATGGCCGAGGGTACGTCGCGGTCATCTATATCTCATCTCTCCTCAGCGAGAGCCTAGAGCCTCGGTGTGGGAATATAAGTGACTGTTACATCTGCCGCTTAGGCCTGTGAGGAGAACCAGTCGTACAGCACTGTGCTCGGATGGAAAACACGCGACATCATACAAAGTCCCAAATCTTAAGGCGTCTGTTTTTCTGTATAATGATCCTTACTTTACGTAATCGCAAAAGCCGCAATTTTAGAGGTCCCTATTCATTTAACCTTGTCTAAATATGACATAAAGGCAGGAAGCTGATGTTAGTTCATGTTAGTTTCAGGTGGGTTAGAAGTTCATGACTCAGAAACTGGTTTACTCATATCTGAAGAGTGTTTTATAACTTTACCAGTTGGTAAGAACTTGAATTCAATGGCGGAAATGTGAGATCTACTTGGAGAACTATAAAACTCTGCTGGAGATGACAGAATGGAATTAATTTTCACTTTCAATAAATAGGAATCACTATCCAAGAATCCTAATTACAGCACCACGAATTTGGATTAGGATTAATGACTGTTGTGATGGTGCTCACTTCGCGCTCTTTCATTATATCGTAATAATATACTGTAGGAGCGCCCTAACCCGTTGGCTTATTTTGACGAGAAGTGCTCGTCGTAACTTTGTAATACTGTGTGTATCAGTGTTTGTCTGAAATCAAATTAAACCTTTGAGGCATGAACTTCTTCTAAGTAATATCTGACATTTACTTCCTACAGCACAGAAAGCACAAGGTGTTTCCCTTACAAAGGCTAGCCCATATTGTGTTTAGAGAAATATTAACTCTTTATTTTAATAATATATAAACATAATTTGCGGATAAAATTTCGAGACTTTTAAATTTCAAGCAAGTGGTGTACGTACTAGTAGATAGCATTGCGTTAAGAAGAGTCAAAATTCTCATGTTTATCTAAATAATTACACTTTGCTATCGTAGTTAGTTTTGCATTTTGTTCACCATGTACAAAATTCATAGCGTGACATAGCTCGGATATAACATGTGAAAAAATACAGAAAAGTGGTCATAAATTTATTTATTCATTGGTTGCTTCTGAACCATCAGCCTACGTTTTACACAGATACACATACACAAACTGTGTTTTATGGCAACCATTTGGTCACTTAAGTGTATATCTATTCCTATATTTGAGCCATATATTTTCGATAGTTTCTCTTACGACAATTTAAAATCCTGTAAACAATATTCTAACTTTTTAGAACAAAAAAACTGAGGAACGTATATTGGAAATTAAGCATCACTTTAAAATTCTTAAAACAGGATGAGAAACAATAAATAATTTTAAAGTTTCCTTGTATCAGGAAGATATGATTATGACAGCGTTAGGTGGGAAGTATTTTATTTCTCAAATTTGTAAACCTTCAAATTGCGCGGGGGAGGCATCTATGTTGCCGACATGAACTCGAGCGACTTGCCGGCGTGTCTCTCGGCCATGACACAAAGTCATAACAACCAGTGTTGGTGATGAGGGAACGAGACAGATTGGGGTGGGGAGAGGCGCTTTAAACAATACACGATGACGCCACGCTCCCAGACGCGTGAGCAAAACGAACGGTTCACCATATTTGGTTGCTATGACAACCTGCCACGTCAGAGGCAAGATCACGTGGTACAGACTCTTACATCGTTACGCGTGAGCAAACACAACCATTTATGTTTATTTTTTGAGCAAAAGGGGTTTAAGAATAAAAGAAAAACAGACAGCTCATTATTAATAATTTTTAAAAATAGCTAAAAAATTAATCACAACGGTGTTTTACAAAAATATTATGTTGTTAGATGAATGACAAGTAAATGTAGAAAACGTTCGATGTGCAGCGCGAAGTATTTCATAAAATTTGAAACAATATGCGCATGCGTTGTTCTCAGTTCTGTGACGGAACAGAGCAGTAGATAAGACTCACCACTCAAATGATACCTAGTTTTAGCCCAAGTAACTCAAATTGCCATATCACAAACAGAACGGCTGATTTACTTTCCTGTGAAAATCTATCTACACTCGAGACAAAAAATATAATACTTTTTAATATTATATCTAATATCCGTACATACTGCAGCCACTCACACTTCCATTTGCTGTCTTTGGTACCTTTAAGAAAGAGAAGAACTTAGTAATTTATTCTTAATTTAATCATTTAAAAATACTATAGCGTACAGCCGAAACTTCTTCACGGATTGTTTTCTTTATTTGTCCACTACTATAAAAGAGAAATGTATCTCAAATTAATGTTTTCAATTTGAGACAACAAAAGTTTTAGAAATTCGTAAATCTCCTAAGAATATCAGACCATCTAAAGATACTGATATAGTGAAACCAACAACTGTAACGGTGTAATAACGAAATATATAAAAATAAAAAAAATTCACTGAAGTTTTCATTTTCATAGCATCTAAATAAATAGGCAGTAATATATTTGTTATAACTGTGGGAGTGACGCATAAGATTCGGTCCATATGGCCAGGCGTTTAGCTCCATCTGATGGCAATGTGTGTAGCTTCCCATCTAGATGACAGACGAGAGTTAAGCAACTGAAAAGGAGAAAGCCGCCATGTTTGCCATTCCTATTATCACGTGACGCATTTTCACGGAGAGAGACTGTAAGAGTTCCGTTCCTCAATGTTTTAATCCAGCAGGCGAGCCTATCCACTTTCGCCATTTACTGAATTCGTCACGGAATTAGGTGCGTGTTCCACGGTCTTAATAGTTCTTCATAGATGGCTGCATCTTGCACGCAAAAATTGAGTCGTCAAATAGGCAACACTATTAATGTCCATCTAACCTAGGAACCAGGGTACGTCATACATTGTGCAGCAGGCAACCTTACGGAAGAAAATTCCTCTGTAAATATGTTACAATGTCGCAACGGTGTATGAATACTGGAAATTGTTGAATCGGATGACGCAATATTGTACGTCACTAACTGATGATGACACGTCATAGTTTTCATGACAGATGGGGCACAACTCCAAGTCGGTGTGGCGATTTTTAAGGGTCAAACTGTGTAGGTCGAGGCATACGCGATTTACAAGTTCTGTGATTATGAGACCTAAGGAGAGGGGGTAAAAAAAGGAACTCAGTGTAAGCCAATGGAAGGGCCGCGCCTTAGCTCAAGCGGTTAGTCGCTGGCTTCTCANCCACCGTGGCAGCCTGGGTTCGATCCCGGGTCTGGTCAAGTGGGATTTGTGGTGGATAAAGTGGCGCTGGGGCAGGTTTTCTCCGAATAATTCGGTTTCCCCTGCCAATCTTCTTTCCACCAATTGCTGCACAATCACCCTCACCTATCATCTGGGGCTGGTACAATAGGCCAGAAGTGGCCGCAGTACAAGGGACTTAGTCCCGCCCCACTAGCAATAAAAGAAAAGCCAATGGAAGGATAAGAAGAAACACAGCTTATGATAGAAGAGTGCAGACCTTCTAAAGGCCGTGTTCTGTCCGTTTCTTCTTATTTGCTTTGGCCGAGTATATTTCTTTGCCCTCTCTCCTTGGAGTCGGTATAGAGACAGGCTATAGACTGGAAGGAAAGGGTTCGTTTCTCGGCAGGGTCAAGGTTTCTTCTCTACTCCACAGCGTGTAGGCCGGCTCTGGAGTCCACACACCATCCTACCAAATGGGTACAGGGGGCGCTTTCCCTGGGTGTGAAGCGGCCGGGGACCTGAAGCTGACCACTGGCTTCCATTTAGTGCTGATGTAAAAAAATTGTGGAATGATGCCTCAACTCCCCCCCCCCACAAGTCTTCATGGTCTGGGGCTTAGTTAATTGAGCACAGGGGCAAATTTGCGGTTTTTAAACCCTCCCCTTGCATCTCACGGCCACCAAGTCTATGCCTGAACATACGTACATATTTCAAAGCTGAAGACTGAGGCAGTCTGCTCCTCCAAAAAGTTTGCATTGGCTCACGAAATTACACGATGTCACAACTCAGAAGTGCCCTCCTCAAAACTATGAATTTTGTAAACGTGTACTCCACACAAGTTACGAAGTCTTCTAATAATGACACGTTTATATTCTGGACGAACATCCACGGTGAATATGGCAGTGCCTGTGACCACTGACGGCGGTCGCATGCAGGGTGGAACACTTTGCTATTCACTGCGCATGCGGTCTACGTCTACAGTCAGGAAACACAGAGGTACCACTTCATGATTGTATTCGGGAGGGGATTTGTTCGAGCCTCAGCCAAAGCTGTGATGATTAAACTGACTAAGCCTCTCCATTGTTTTCCTCAGTCTCTCTAAGGCTAATTTTGGGATAGTGGTTGAATTCGGCCAGGATCACTTCCTTCAAGACAATTTACAATCCTACCACTCAGCGCTACATACGTGTAGTCTACATAATAAACACGATATCGGCGCCTAGTCCACCCTTCAAAACAATTTTGGGACTGGTTTTATGGAATGGCCTTCAGAGCTGCCATCGTATTGCTATTGATGTCATCAATGTAATCAAAATGCCTTCCTCTCAATATTTCCTTTATCTTCAGAAACAGAGAGACGTCATTCGGGGCTAGATCTGGTGAATAGGGAGGGTGGTCCAGCACACTTATTTGTTTAATAGCTAAAAACTCCCTCAGAGACACTGCTCTAACTCAAGCTCGAATATTCTCACGACGGCACACCAAAACACACTCAGACAATAATAGACGCCACTCATAAAGAGACTGTCATAGATCAACAACAACATAGCTGTGAAACGCTGATATGCCAACGTCATCAAGCCATACTGAGGTCTCTGTCCACTGCTGCCACGGCAAAAGCACGGTGTCAAGTTCGCGAACTTTATTGTCAGACCTCGGGCGCGCGTGTGTGAATGTCTTCTAACTGCCTTTTACATTCTATTTTGCGACGAATATGAAAATAATGTAAACTCTCTGCAATATTCTCAGTTCTGAACAAACCTACAAACGTCTATACAGATCAGAATAATAAATGTAATTATGAAGAGTGGTGTAAGCAACAGGGAGATTATCAGAACACTTGAACTGGACTCAGTACATAACAGCTAACATGGCGGACTGCTTCCTTATCAGGTGCTTCATCTTGCTATCAGAATTTCTGTTGCAAACTTATGCACAAGAAAGAAAACAGAGAACACTTAGAAATAAACCCCTCTCTTCCAAAGTTTTGTATTCAACGCGCTTCAAAGTACTTAACTAGGCTGCTATTAAAAATAGGCTGCAAACAAAATAGTTCATCTTGTATACAATGCGTCTGTGTAGATCCGGAAGGAGAATAATGTTAATTTTTTCTTCAGTTGGCATGAAACGAAATTTAAATCTATGGAAAGATACAGATGAACACATATTGTTGAGCATGTCTCTTGTTTTATTCGTCTATTTTACATTTCAATATTGTTTCTACGTTAATTTATATATTTAAAGGAAAACTAGGAATTTGAGTAGAAAATATCATACGTACGAATGCATTTAATGTGAGTTGGTGTATGCGTCAGAAGCTGACTGTGGGTTCTATTATTATTACAATTTGTTGCAGTTGTATAGTGTTGGTATCTAGTGGTGACAAAATGTAAGAAAGAAGCTTTGTAATGTGCCCTAGCACCAGGAGATGTCTCTATGTCCAATACAAAGAATAATGTTAGTGATAACGTAGGAAATGGAGAGTAAGAAGAAGGAGAACAAAAAGAGATGTTATTTCTTGGCAATAGAACGACGAACAAAGCATTCCGATTGTTTTCTTTAAATATGGAATTATTCAGTGGATGGGGCGGTCTATGTTCGCGAAATGAGAAGTAATATCTCGGAGTACGAAATGTAGAAGCCTTGCAATTTAACGCTGTTCCTCACTTCCTTGATTCTGAGCGAATTGAGCCTGTAAGTTTCAGCACAGGCGATACAAATTTGGGGGAACATTTTTTTACGCGACGGTGGATCTGGTTACTTCACAGAGCAAAATGTTGCTCACTAAAGATATGACATCATAATATTTATTACAACTAATTAACTTCATGGAGCGGAGCCCTTCTTGAGAAGCCGCCAGTTGTGCAGCTACTCAAGAACTTCCCAGCATTTTGTGGAACCCGAAACTTCAATGCCGTGTTCACAAGAGCCCTCCACTCGTCCCTATCCTGAGCCAGATCAATCCATTGCATACCATTCCATCCTATCTCTTTAACATTTATTTTATCATTATAACCCACCTACGTCTTGGTCTTATTAATGGTCTATTTCCTTCTGGATTTCCCACCAATATTGTATATGTATTCCTCTTAGCTCCCATTCGTGCTACATACCCTGTCCATATCATCCTCCTTGACTTGATCATTCTAATTATATCTGGCGAAAAGTACAGTTTATGAAGCTTCCCAATAAGCAGTTTCCTCCAGTCTCCTGTGACTTCATCCCTCTTCGGTCCAATTATTCACCTTAGCACCCTGTTCCTACTGAGTGCCTTTTTAATATTTATTATGCTTGCCGAAATATTATTTTTACTGTTTACTTGATTATTTTGAAAAATTTTATGTATATTCTCAAGTGATTAGTTTAAATTGCAATTTTTGTCTGACGAGAGTAAAAACCATTGGAAATTTACAGAGTTTACTCTTCAGACTCTAGGTATACAAAATGATCGATTCTCTACCATTTTACTATTTTTCGAATCACACACCACATATCCCAGTAACCTTTAGAATATATACACTTGATCTATTCTTCGTAACAAGTGAAATCCGATAGCTCATCTGAGGAAGCATAAGAATTTAAACTGGCAGAATTCTGTCCTTTCTTACTTCCCACTGAGCCACTGAAAGAAAGTCCCCTTACAATTGAAACATCTTAAACGTCACTGAGTTACGTAAATTCGAGTGCAAGTGAAATAGCAGAATTGTGCGTAACATGGAGACAAGTAGTTCTGGAAGTAGATGATTCATAGAACCAGGAGGCTCTTGTAATTTTACC